GATTACTACACTGCTACTATGTTTATTAGCGTTCCAGAATTTTCGGGGAAATCCAAGGACTTTTAAAACACTATAAAAACCCTATATCTTCTGTACATTAATGAAACTTTGGGGAAAAGTGCTTCACACATATTTTGAGCCTTTTCTCTCGTATTCAATTAGCTGTGTAGATTTAGCTTGAGGGTTACGAAACTAGCTTAGGATCTGAGTATGGTATTCAATCAGCAAGACTTATCTGTTCGAAACTATAACCCCGTGCTCCGAATGTTCTTTCTCATAAACTTAATAAACACCTACTACAACCACTGGCTTGACCCCTTCAACATATTAAAAAGAGGGTAACTACCAGCATGAAAACATTTTAATAAGGGAAAGACGTCAACTCTAGGTTGAAAAACAGGAAAGGCTAGAAATAAGGTTGTTTATATAAGTTCTCAAGAGAGATCTTGTTGCTTTACCCAAAGATTTTTAAGCTGCATCTTCAAGGCCTAATGAGGGGGTGAGACTTCAGTCCTCGAAAATTCAAAAACAGGTTGATCTAAAGTTTCTTGAGTTAGAAATATCATTGTGTTCTTCGTACAGTTCACAAAACATTGAATTGTTTGCGTCAGAAAAGAATGATCAACCCTATGTAGTATTCAGCAGGGGTTACCCCTACTGCTGCGACTTTGATGTCTGATGGCGAGTCTCCCAGTACACATAGTGATAGCTGAATAACATTGAATTGCCAATCTGTAAACCAAACACCAACCACGATTAAAGCTCGGTATATCCTTGATCGGCTTTCCCATACCAAAGCGTTAATGAAGATGAGTTGAAAGACGCTCATCTTCTGCTTCCCTTAGATCAGTCTTCACCAATTTTGACAGTAGTTAACACTCCATTTGGTCTATTCAAATACAACTTCTTTTGATTTGGCTTCCGTTGTTTTCCAGTTTTACTTTTACAAGTGACGAGTAATAAAGTCATTAGTGTTAAAGGCGTTGAAATTTGTCAAGATGATCTTATCATTCACGGTCAAGGTAAATCAGCTCATAATCAGAAACTTGTTGCTTTATTGAGTAGTCTAGTTGAGAATATTACGGTGAGTCTAAATAAGTATTTATTTTGTGTGTCTGATTCTGACTGTTTCTAGTACTTAATTGATGGTAACGGTTTTCATTTAGATATTAAGCAACTAACTTCACTGATAGATCTACCATCTCCGAAAAATCTCACAAGACTGGGTTCATTAATGAGCGCTCCTCAATTATGTTCCCTTTTCATTTCTATTTATTCTCGTGCCAACTGTTTGTTTCAAGACTTGACATCCTAGGTATTGAAATGGGGTGAGGACAAGAGTCATGATTACGAAGCCTACTTAAATTTCTTCAAAGTGATGCTGTTCTTAGTACTTACACCCCTAGAATACACTGCGTACTTATTACTGATGCATCACCTGTGAATATTGGTGCAGTTTTAGAACAAGAAACTGAACCAATAATCTGCGTTTCACGCCACCACACTGTTGCTGAACGATGTCACTCGCAGACTCCAAGGAAAGCAATAGTTGGATCCTGGCAGTTGAGTGACTTTATGAATTTTTATTCAGAAAAAAATCCACTATTGGTACTAAAAACGAATCTTTAAAATTCATTTATTAAACCTGAAAAATTCTTGGCGTGTTCCTCAGTCGTTATGGTTCAACGATGGAGTATCTCTCTGAGCACCCACGACTACACTATTGAGCAAGAAATGGCTAAACAAATTCAAAATACTAACTACATATCTTAGCAGTCATTCTATGATGAACCTGTTGATACTGCTGACTGCTTGTTATTGAAATCCTTATCAATAAGCCGTCGAGACATTACTGGGGCAACACACCGATACTCTTAATGCGCAGTCGTCGCCGAACGAAATGACTGGAATGCGAATCCGAAACATAGATTTCCCCTCTCGTTCCCCATGCAGGGTGAATTATCTATTACTCCTGGCAGTTTTGCACTTGAGATCCAGTGTTATATCGCTATTTCATGACTAAAATTTGTCACTGACGATCACCATGGTGAACACTTGGGTGTCAAAAAAGTGAAATATTCAGCAAGGCGCATATGTTGATGGACGAAAATAAGTGGTGAAATATGCAGTACAGAAAATGGTTGTGCAAGATATCATAAATCAAAAAGTTACCCTTCAAAGTGGACTCCTCGGCCAGTGTCTTCAGAAACCTAGTTCAAACTTCAGGCAGGCTGTTTCAGCTCATCTCGGCACATACCATGCACTTATCGCCGCTGATTCCTTTTCTAAGTGGCCTGAATTTTTCCGGCTTTTACGAAATTTAAATCCATAACAACGAAAATTCCAAGTATCAACATTAACTGTTTGTTGGGTTCTATAGACTGATCTAGTTGAGTAATCCTAATAAATACAGAATACTGTTGTGATGTAAACTACATCTTGCTGAGTGATTTGCAACAACTAGGATAGACACAATAGCTTATCGAGGGACAACATTTGCCAGGAAGATCTAAGAAATGTAACACAACCTAAGTCCACAAGTAGGGAAACCAACAAGAGTTATGCAACGTGTTGATTAACTAAATATTGACTACTCACTACAACTCTGTAACGTGTTGCCTTGGAGCTGTCTTCACTTCAGTGTTGGCCACTCTTGCTAAAGTTATGAACGATGAACAAACGAAATTCGACAGAACCAGTAAATTTCAACAGTATGATTGTATAAATACCAATGATAACCCCTGAACCATTTTTTACTGAAATTGCTTGAGTTTTAAAGAACGAAGTTGAACATCATCACGCTAGTCTGTTACTGTCACAGGCCACTTGCAAATCATCTTACGATCGGTCACTTTCTAGTCATTTCGTCCACTGTCCTACCTTTGACTAATCAGCATTATTTTATCACTGTAAAATCTGTGAAAGAGTAAAATGTTTTCGTATGGACTTCGTAAGCCAGGTTAATATATTCCATTCATTAAAAATAACCCACTGAAAGAAGGAATTCGTCACAGTAAGTGTACCTGAATGATTACATGTGAGTTTGCTGACTTTATATAGCGCCTGCTTCTTTGAGTTCATGACGGTTATATTGGCAACCATGACCGATAAACGTTAGCGGATTGTGCAAAATGAATTTTTGATGTACTTGAAGAAGTATTACCTATATTATGGAAGACTGATTCCCTACTGTCGTCTACCATTGATATTTAACGCTTAAGCATCATTTGACAAGATTGTGGGGAGTAGTGTAACGTCGTGTACTATATTACACCTACATAGCTTATTCTAGTTTCTGGACAAGCCAATTCACCTATAACGTTATGAGTCATATTTTGATCATATTAATTATTCCCTTATTGACCTTGACTATTTTTTTTATATGAGCGTATGTGTATGCACACTTCTTATCCTACCTATCACATGTCTGTCATTCATTTTAGCCTGACTATAAATGTTGATTAATGCTTGCTTATAACGAGTTGGCTTCCCAGCCATCTCCAATACGCATTAATTTAGCTTCACTCTCGAGTTGGCTTCCCAGCCATCTCCACTCTGCGTCATCTTTCCTTCGCTTGCTTACATTTGCTAATATGCTCACTGCCTTCTAGCCCATGTTAGTTATCAATAAAAATGTAGTTGCTGCTTCCCTTTGTCTTCTGATATCATACACCGTTCAGATTGTTATAATAACGGTTATCAAGACGATCGATTAACGAAGCACTACACTACAAGATAAAGAACATTGGATAGAAACAATTCACATTCGCTTTGCAAATTTACTATCTAAGTTAGTACATTCTGACACAACAAACGCTGAGGCAGTAGGCAAAGGTGTAAGGAGTTGAATCCCATCATCAGTTTGATGATCTTGTAGAACAAAGTATATAGCTAATAAACTAGAGATTAAGACCAGATGTTCGAAAGGTTAGTTTGTAGCTGGAAAGTATAACTGAATGTGTTATCATCGGCATAATTGAAAGCACATTACATCACATTATCAAACAACAACTTACGCTTTAAACTCAAATTGGAGTGTTCACGGTTAATGAGGAAACATGTTGGACACGGTTGTTTGGTTAACTAAGACAGAATATCGACACATTTTGCTGTTACGCTTTTTACGAAACCCATGTTGCTCGGGGGTTAACAGATTGTACGAATCTATGTGACTTGATAATTTAACCCGAATTATATTTCTAGGTAACTTAACGACTTTGATGGTCAGGCTGACAGGCTGGTAGTTAGATACGATCAGTCTCTTATCATCCTGAAATATAGGACTGGCTATATCGTCTTTCTAGTCTCTAGGTAGTTGACCGAGTGAAAATGACATGTTGAAGAGCGTCGCGAGCGGTCCTGAAATAATGTTCGCAAGCGATGACAGCAGACCTGGATGCAACAATTCGGAGCCCGGTATCTTACGGGGTTTGAGGCTAGTTAACATTGGAACAGTTTCCTCGGTCACATGTACAGTAGACTTTACTAAAATAGTTTGCAAAATCTGAGCTTTTGCAAGATCAGATCCAGCTAGTAAATCTGAATTTTCGTGTAACAGCAACGCGGGAATACCACCACTACTTTTTGTCCGCCGTTTAACGCACGAAAACAGTCGCTTCGGACAAGTATGGCTATCATATGCCAACTGTCATTCGTAATTGGTACGGGATTTAGCTATGGCTTTTTTTACATATATTCCAGATTTTTTTATTCGCATTTAAATAATGCCTGCCTTGTCGACAAGAACAAGTCCCAGAAGTGTTTTCTGCGCCTTAACAACTTCCGGGTTTCAGAAAATAGGGAGATTGGGAAGTTACGAGGCAACAATCGGTCCAACGTGTCACTACAAAACAGAGAGAGCTAAATATATGTTCTTGGAAATGATTTTGTGGTTTTTCTGCAGCAAAAGACCACTTACATACAGGGAAACCTGATATTCGTGCAAACAAACAGACCATCAGCAGTTGAAATATGGAATGACCGCCCCTTGTCAGACCGTTCAAGGTCATCTAGACGAAACGGCGGGGGACTTTGAAAGGACCTGACTTTTTATCGTGCCGTTTCAGAAAGATTGGGTCAGTATTCGTAGTCGGTGGCAGCATTCCAATTTCGACCTATCAGCGACTTCAGATCGCTTATAGGGGACAAGGTTTCCATCATAGGTGAGCTGCTGTAAGTTGAAAAATAAACTACGCAAAGTGATAATAAATGTGATGTAGTATAAAAGAAATAAAAACGAGTGTTATCAGTTGATTGAGAATACGATTTGTCTGAATGAGCGTTGAAGCAATAGAAAATTTTCCAGTCGCAGTAATCATTGATTTGTGTGTGGGCTAAGATACTTCCCGGGTACCCAAACCGAAGTAGGTAGTTTTCTCAGGGGGCCACACCCAAAGCCCTTGACCCAAAAGTCTAATCCACCGGACAGTGGAGCATTGTTGAAAGGTGCAGTCCCATGGTAGCCGGTCATCGACAATAGATTCATACGCCATTTGTCCTCTCAGAACCGTGGGGCCCATGTGCACTAATGGTTTAGAATCACGATTTTCCAACTTCCCTAGGTGGACTCTCGGTACCCACTAACCCGGTTAAGGAACCGGATACTCACTTTTTATCCTCTCAATTTCGTAAACAACATCTCCACCGTGGGAAAGACCTTGGCAGTGGCTGTATATGCGAGGCCGTGTGTGAGCGTTTCGAGAGGGGGGGGGTAGGCTCTCCCCGCCTTCGACCATACCAGGGTTTGGGGGGTCGTTTGGTTGGCTAAAGGTAGTAAAATTACGAGCTTTATTTGTCACAGAGTACGTTGGTATCGTTAAAAGTTCTTAAAGCTGTTTTCCGTGGTATTCCTTGTCTGATTTAAGATGTATTTACCCATCAGTAACATTTGTATTTATTCACCTACTCTTCTTAGGTTTTTCTATTGAGTTGTTTTCACTGAAATGCACTTTGTAGTTTACATTTCTATATCTGGTTTGTTTCGAAGGTTACCTTTTTTCGGATCGGCAATATTGTCGCGCATTTAATTGTTGCTGTGTTTGTAGTCAATGGTTGAAATCAGGGATTTACCTCAGGATTTATTTTATCAAATTTGCTCCTATTTGCGGATTAACGATCTCCTTGCGCTATGTTCTGTGTGTGCACAGTTTTGTTACTGGTTACGTCGGCAGTCGTATTGGAAATGGCGCTCACAATGTCTTTGGAGTGGAACCTACCCTTGTTTACCAGGTTACTTTGTTTGTGTATTCTGATTTGTATCAAATGTAGAGAAGATCATAGACTGGGCGTCAGCAAGTTTTGAACGGGAAAAGTGCTGTATAAACTTCGGGGAGAATTCATCTGATTGCATTCGTCTATCTAAGTTGGACGTGGTCAGCCACGGAATAGACGCTTTACATATTCCCCTGGTATCCATTGAAATTTTTCTGATAATCCTAATTCCAGAAACATCCAGATTTACTTATAATGGGTGATAGAGGTCGAGTGGTGTCAATATTTTCATTCAAGGCTGGGATGTTTTCTAATTCATGGCTTCCTGTATTTACTGAATATCAAAGTCATTCTGTAAGTTTTTTTTTTCAAGCAGTCATTATTTTGGGAAATAATTTTATATGATTTTAAATACTTTACACAACTCAGCAACTATTTAAAGTATAAACTATTAGGTTTGTTTTCTTCGTGCGACTGTTTAATTTAACGAAGCAGTACATTCACTGCTTAGCACTTATAAATATTATTTAATGTTTGATAGTGAACTTCGTAGGAAAACACAGATACATATTTTTTTATGTTGTCATTGGTATGTGTTCACGAAGTATAAATTAGTTGTTTTTAATCATTTGTAATAGTTAGTTATGAAGAGACTAAGACCAAAGATTTGAGCATAATAACATAACTTCCTTTCATTTCGTCAGCTGTTTACGTGTCATATTTACCACGGGTGCACAAACATGATGTCTCCTTGAACCCCATATTGTCAATCATTGATTCGCCGTTTCATAAAATTGCATGCTGACTAACGGAAAAGCTAAAGCCAACAGAAAATACATAAAAAAATTCATTATAATTTCCTGACAGACTAAATCGTGCAAACGTTTCTGGTTGCCTTTTACATAACATACTTGTTCACCAATATATCACTTCTTGAAACCACTGGGATATTGACCAGCATTCTGATATACTGTTAACGGTGTCAATCCAAACGATTGCTAATTATATGCACAAAAGACATTCAGTTTAACAACACTGTGTACCGTCAAATTGACGGTGTTGCAATAAGAGGTACAATTTTCGCAGATATTTTTGTGGGTTATCTTGAAAACACAGAGATTAAAAGAGCAGTGAGTAAAATAACGGAATACTCGAGATATATTAATAACAGGTTCATTGTTTGCTATTCTTCTGTTAGGAGAGATGACTTACTATGGAGCACAAAAAGAACGACATGCTCTACCTTTTTGGTAGTATCGTATTACAGAGAGAAGGCAAGACAGCTCAACGTTCAGTTTGTCAAGAAAGTACTTGGAATGGTCTATACTTGGATTCGGATAGTTTTTGTCCAATCCTTTACAAGAAGGCATTGGTCAGAATACTTTTATAGAGTAGAAATAATTTGTGCCACTGACAAATTGGAAGAGGAATTGGCAAACATTGAAAAGTGTCTCAATGACAACTTCTGTCCACAGAAATTTATTGGTAAATATAAAAAAATTAAAAGCAAGTTGGATGTTGCTATTGTCAATATAGAGCCTTTATTTACTCATATTAGCTTCAAAGGTTATGACGTTACACGCACAATGAGCAGAAGGCCTAACGCTTCATTAGCCAGAACCTGCCCTGCAGCCAAACTTAGTCCTGTGTAAAATAACTTGCTTAGTAATTCAATCGGAGGTTGACAAATACTCTACCAGTTCTGTCTAGAAATTCACATGTACCTCCCAAAGCAACTACATTGACTGGACAGATTAGAGGGCATATCTCCAAAGCTTTTTGAACGTTTTTCAAAAACCCTTCAACCAAAAGGGAGGAATACGCTTAGTAGCACAGTCACCAAGCATCTCTTGGACATCAAGTTGATACCTTGAAATCTTTCAAGGTACTTAATAAACAGTCGGGCTCCAGCCTTCCAAAGTCTTCTGGAGGCATTGCTGCTAGGAGTAAAGTGCCTGGTTTATGTGTTTAGGGCACAATTATTAATCTTTCTCTGCCTTGCTGACACAAATATCTTTTCGTTATGTCATAAAATATTTTTAAAATCTCAGTTGATTACATCATTGCTTCTCTTTCCAACTTCCTTCTCGATCAGTAGTTCCATTTTAAACAATTGAGCTTTATTCAATTTATTTCTTCGTTTGTTTATTGTTTAATAATTTTTCTCTATCTCTCCAGTCTCTTGTTACTATAAATGTTGTGGAGTGCTCTTCCATATGAGATATATATTTGTTATATTTTATATAGTCTCCTAGGTTTGTTTATATCCTTATTGTTGTATGCTAATGTGTGTTCTAAACTTCCAACCAAAGTCATACGTAATTTCAATCCATTTCGTGATTATGACTTGTGAACATTATAGGTTGTAAGCAGCTGACAAAAATCTAACGAGATAGAACAAATGTATGTTCTGCTCACATCTTTATTATTGGTCTCTTCAAGATGATAAAGAAAAGCATGTGGTTAGTTTTTTCGAATATAATGGTTTTTATCTTAATGATAACTGATATCATCCATATTAAATTCGATTTAGTCATGTAAAAAAAGAAATTTTGTTTGTTGTTGCTTTGTAGCTTTAAAAATTCACTTAGTTTTAGTTATCTCGTTAGCGATCTGCACTCTATAATGTTCTTCCACCAAACATTTAAACTTAACAATGGGTGAAGTAGCTAGTTATTTCCACATCTGCATCAGACCCACGGTGTTCACCGATGATGCTGCCCAGATATGTAAAGATTTTTACATCCCCCAAAGCTTCTCCGTCAAGTGTGATCCGATTGATACATGTTGTGTTGCATCGGCAAACCTTGCTTTTCCCTTTGTATATGCTGGGACCTACTGTTGCTGAGGCTGCTGCTACACTGTTGGTTTTCTGAATTTGTTGTTGCGTGTGTGATATAAGAGCCAGGTCATCTGCGAAGTCTAAATCGTCCAGCTGCATCCTACCTGTCCACTGTATCCCGTAATTTTCTCCAGATGTTGACGTCTTCATGATCTAGTCGATCACCAGGAGAAAGAGAAAGGGTGAGATTAAGCAACCTTGCCTGACACCAGTATTTACCTCAAACAAGTCAGTGAGTTGTCCTCCATGCACGACTTTGCAGTTTAATCCATCATAGGAATTCCGTATGATACTGACTATCTTCTCAGGCACGGTGTAGTGTCGAAGAAGCCTCCATAGTGTTATCCTATCCACGATATCAGATGCTTTCTCGTAGTCAGTGAAATTGATGTAGAGTGATGAATTCCATTCAATTGACTGTTCCACAATGATACGTAGAGTTGCGATTTGGTCTGTACACGATCGATCCTTACGGAATCCAGCCTGTTGGTCTGGAAGTTGAGTGTCTACGGAGTCCTTCATTCTGTTCAACAACGCCCTGTTGAAGACTTTCCCTGGTATTAAGAGAAGAATCTACTCTACATAAATAGATTCAAGATTCTAGATTTATATTCGTCACGGAATTATATATCCAAACATGCTAAGTTTAATCAAAAATGTGGTCGAACTAGTGGTTGAAAGAATTCATCCTAACTCCCAATCGCGAAACCACAATCCTTTATCAAAAATTGAAAAATTTCATATCTTGGATATTTTAACATTTGTAATCTATCCAATCTGTCTGTATGCATGTATTTCTATCTATCTATTTATTTATCTAGTCTGTCAACCCTGGTTTTCTCTGCTGTTTTTTTCTCTTCTTGAATCTTCCACACTCTACAGAAGTACATTGTTTATACCGGTACTTTTTTGGTCCTAGGATTTCTTAGCATGTTGTTATTACTTCTGCAATCCTTTCTCAGTTGTTCTCTATAGTGGTTTCATTCTTCTCTTATGGATCTTGTAAGACTTATAACTTGTTTTCGACAACTATGTTGAACTCGCTGAGTTTTGTTAAGATCTCGAAAAAGGGGTGTAATAAAATTATCTAGTGCTTCTTTTACTTCAGTTTTATTTAAGCCATCAGTTAATGGCCTGAAGCTATATCAGCTCCTCTTTGAAAGACCTTGTTGATTTCTTAATATCATACGCAATCGTTCTGGTTTGCTGTAGTGTGGTCTGTAGAAACATATGGTTTTCATGGGAAAACACTGCTCCTTGCAACTGTGTTGTTGAAAATACATAGATGTACGTGAATCGTAACATTATTGTTCATTTCTTCATGTCCATATCGTCCCACGTTGTGTCCATTCCTGACGCTGTTCATCCTGAACTTGGCATTCAGGTCCCCTATTTGGATGGTCATGTGTTTTCTTGAACATTCATCTAAGATAGCCCGAAACTCTTTAGTAAACTGATCTTTATTATGTTATCTACCATCATTTGTAAGTGTGTAGTACTGATTTGACATTCATTGTAACCATTTCCTTTGTTTCTAAGCGTGGTTTGATTATCCTGGTACTATGAGTGCTTTCCATGTTTCTTTGGGCAGTATTAGTGCAACTCCTAATGTGTATTTTCTTTACGACTAGAATAAAATACCTCTCCGGAAATTAGTTTTTTATGTCTAGATTGTGTCCCATGGGTTTCACTTATTCTAAGGACAGCCAGTTTGTATCTTCTCATTTTCGCCGCCGTTTGAATAACTTTCCTGGTCCTCTAAATTGTCCAGACACTCCATGTAGCTACACAAATCGCTGTTCTGATTGTCAGAAGAAGCATCGGTCTCGTCTTCTAGAAAATTTAGGGTTTGGCTATGAGTGATCATAACGCCTTCATATGGAGACCCCTATCTTCTCAAAGCAGAGTTCAGTGGACATAATTTGTTTATGATTTTGTAGTGAGGCTGTTTTAAACAAGGTGATGTTGCCAACCCTACACTCAACCCTCCTTTATCCGGACTTGAAAACAACACTAACCTTGTATTGTCTTCTGACAGAGTTGTCAACACTAAATCTCACACATAAATCGTGGCTTAAAACAGATTGTACGAATCTGTACTTATCAAAGGATTTGTATTTCCTGTAGTTATTTCTATGGTAACCCGTATATACGACGTGGTCCGTGTAAGTCAGCTGAACTACTGAATAGCAACGACAAGCGACTAGATTCCCACTATTCCATATTATTCTCTAGCATCCAAGCTTCTAAAATCTGAAGAAACATAAACAGAAGAACATATGTCCTACGGTTTTGAAAAATATTAAGGTGGTGCAAAGATTATGGATATTTGCAGAGCAATCAGGAGAAGTTGCTCAGAAAACCAGCCACTTATATTTCGAACATTACGGAGTCAAAATTCAAGTCCTTTTTGTGTAGCTTGAAATCCATTTAAATATATTTTATTTGAAACAAGGGATTTTCCAAGAACCCATTTTACCAACAAACAAGTGGTTTTTATTTTAGATCACGTTATACATCAGCGTATCGAAACTAATTAATTCCTACGATATTTTACATTGCACTCTATTTCACTTCATTTAATTTGATAATGACATTTTAGGGTTGGATATGGACTATCAATTCAACAGATGATGCTGTCATAACAGGTTCATGGGATGGTGCTTTGAGAGTATGGAAGTTGACAAATTCTGGACTAGCATTTCAATCAATTTACCAGTAAGTTCTACGAAAAGTTTTTCAAGTGAATGGTAAATGATAATAGGTCAATTTTTATAGTCACTTTGTTCTTTTTTTATGATTTTCTCCTAGTTATTTACATCATAAAAAGCCAGTTTTAGGATAGTACTTTAAGTTAGTAACAATCTAATCAGCTGACTGAAGTCTGTGTTGTGCTATTATCAGATAAGTTTTTTAATCCCGTGTGCTTTATTATTGTTTATTTGATGACGACTTTTTATAGTATCACGTTTTGCAGTTTATGACCTAACTGTTATACTGCACAAATTAATCAATAAATGTTACTTGTTGGTTAACATAATGGGGTTAATGGAAATGTTGATTACCTTTTAAAATAAATACAACTGCTCATAAATTTGTATTATTTGCTATCATCGCATCACTGTTCTATTGAATCTTTGTAGTAGAGTATAATGCATTTTGTCCATTCATTTACTATCTACAGATTGGGCACTCCTGTACTGTGTTCAAGCTTTTTGGATTCCAATACTTTGGCAGTTGGTACACATGATCGAAATGTCTATCTATTGGATATACGTTCGTTTGAACAAAATTCATCAAGTCGTATGTGCCATAAAAAGGCTGTTCTTTGCATGGATGCTATATATGAAAATGGTTTGCGTTCAGCTGTTTCAAGAAACTGTACTTCTACTATGAAAAACTGTATTAACGGTAGTGGTGATAACTGTGACCAGATATGTGTAGAATATGATTATCATTCAGAGTTATCATCTGTAACAGCAAGTGAAGAAAATTTTGGAGACTGTATGATTGATCCGTTTGAAATGGAAAATATTGTACTGAACAGTCGTGAACCTAGTCCTGTATCATTTCCCTTAAAGTGTAATTCAGACAAAATAAGTTGTGACAAACTGGATATACAAAATAATTCACTACCTGCTGACCTAAACCATTCGCCAAAACAATCATTTTCTAACGTTCATCTAATCACTGGCAGCAGTGATCAGTATATTGCTGGTTGGGATGTGAGAAATGTTTCTCAACCTGTTCACAAACACAAGGTGAGAAATATCTTCCATTTCATCATAACAGTTTTTTTACTATTGACTAGTTAGAAAACTTTCATAATATATTGGTAGCTCAGTTGGTTCACTTGATGCTGAACGTCAGGCTCCCAAATGCCCTGGTACGGCCAAGAGTGGGGAGGGGCCGCCCTCTCTCGAAATGCTCTCAGACGGCCACGCGTATACAGCCTCTTCCAGGGAAGTCCTACTCACTGCCTTCTTGTGGCGGGGGTGTTGCTTATGGAGTTGAGAGGACGAAAAGCAAATGTCCGGCGCTTTAACCGGGTTGGTGGATGTGGAGGATCTACCTACGGGAGTTGAAAAACCCTGATTCTAAACCAATGGTGTACATGGGCTCCAGCATCCTAGGGGAAAATTAACGTATGAACCAATTATTGGTCACCGGCTACCATGGGACTGCATCTCCTCACGATGCTCCACTGCTTTGTGGGTTAGACCTTTAGGTCAAAGGCTCCGAGTATGGCCCCCTAAGAAAACTAACTGCTTCGGTCTGGGCAAACGGGTAGTATCACAGCCCTCACACAAACAAATGAAATGACGATTTCTACTGACAATACTATTCACTCTCCTATTAAAAGTCAGATAATTCACATTATTATTGTTTACATCGTCACTTATTCACCCCCTTTTATTCCCAATTTGTGTATCCCTAGTTCTCAACTATGCAGCAGCTCGCCCATGGTGGAAACTCTGTTCTATCTAAACGATCTCCCGTCACTGTCTGGCCGAAAGTGAATGCTTCCACCGAATACGAATACTGAATCAGTCTTTCTGAAACCACGTACAACATTCAAGCTGGCTTCCTCCAACGTTCGCACACTAATGCAGATCGGACAACAGATGGGGCTGGCTATGTCTTTAGAAAGTCTTAATGATGATGTTCGCTGTCTATCCGAGACCCGTATTCAAGACTCTAGTGAAGTACTACAAATTCGTTCTCAATCTTTCGCTTCAAAAAGCTTGTTTCATGTGCGCTTATCCGGGGACTCTGTGGCATCTAGTGGCTTATTCCTAACCCAAGCATTGTTTATCAGGTGGTTCCGAAATACACGAGCAGTGCTTCGATAAACGTATGACTGAATACTAGTAACCTACAAATATCCTTTATTCTTAATGGTCATGTTTCACGACCATAAAGTAGAATAAAGCAAACTGCTGCACAGTAAACTCATCTTTTGGTTGATATTACTCCCCAACACCACATGTAATACAAGTTGGCAAAAGTCAATCGCGCTTTCTAAATCCATGTAGAGATTTCGTTTGACACCGGATCATTAGAACTGATAAGTGTACCAAGACAGGTGAATCTGTTGATACGCTCAAATACTCCACTCCCTATCATTCGTTCAGGTGCTGATGCTGACTAATCCTGAAGTAATAGTTTGCATTCCTACGGAGAGAATCACATCTGAAACATACTTACATTGTTGCTTTAGTGGTCAAAAGACTGGACCTTGTCAGTGTCTTCACTAAACAGAATTATGTCACCTGCGTATTCAAAGTCAACGAGTGAATCTCCTGGTAGAGGAACCTCTTGAAAAGTTAGAGGATGAGTATGTTATTTCTGAAAGAATGTCTATGACAAAGTTGAATAAAAAAGTAAGTTGGACAACCCTGACGAACACCACTTGAAGTAATCAATCCCGATGACAGTTCGCCATAAGTTTTGACTCGACCAATAGTGTTCAAACAGAGAGCCTGAAAAAGGTTAATATACTTCTTTGATGCACATTTTAGCGTCAATCACTGCAACGAAATCTCACGATCAACGGAGTCAAACGCCGCCTGAAGATCAAGGGATACAACTATTATTAGACTTCAAAAAAGTATCTATGTTCCAGAATTTGCTGAAGGGTAAATATTTGGTCTGTTAATCCACGTCCAGGTCTTAAACTAACCTAGTTTTCTCGGGTTTACTCTCCGCGAGCTCTAGTTAGGCATGTAAGTACTATTGAGGGTAACATTCCAGGCATCATATTATTTAAACTCTGCCTCTTTATAGTCCATTTTTTATGTTTAGATGTCGAATGTTTCAGTACTACATCAGATTAATTTAGGTACATCATGTGGTCTGATCTATTATCTTCATTAACGTATTACTCTTTCGAGTACTTTGTTTCACAAGACTAAATTTTACGAATTTACATATGGTAGCCATAGTAACTTCTCATCTATCTTAACATTTCAGCTCAGCCGTTACCCAAGAAAGCTGTCTCTCCTGGATAAATATGAATTATGGGTTGCTGAACCACCGAATCAGATTCATGTGTTCGACATTCGCAAAAATCAGTTCAACTGTGTATATGTGAGCTCTGACTAGTAGTGTCTCAATTATGACCATTACTAATATAGTTTTTTTTTAGTTTAACCAAATTACGTTGGATGGCAAAAATTTAGATTTATGTGCACGTAATGGTTTTGTTCAACTAAAGTTAAACACCTAATTCCCCTTCTCAAAATCAGGTCCGTTAGAGAATAATATCTTTGATGGCCTCAAAGCGCCATTAGAGTGTAGTGGAACTATCTAATGACCTACTTCGAGGTCAGGTTTGTAGTGTTAACTCCCGAAGGACTGGGATTTTGTGAGATTTTATACTTCTACCGACTCAGACAACTATGGAGTGTTGTACGATCATTGAGTTGCTGATTCTTCGATACGTCGCAGCTGAAGTAGTTTGAAAGAATTTTCGAAACGATCATATCAATAAGTAATACTGTGAATTGTCTGACTTTTGGAGCCAGCTGTAGGAAATACTGAACTCACTAGATAGAGTCTCCAAAGACAGCTCAATTGCCTGAACAAAAACTAGCGAATATGTCTCGAAATCAATCACATTCTGTTGTCTGTTTTCCCTATTTATATCGACTATAATGAATAATTGGATGCCAAATGCTACATTACACCAATAAATAAATCAATACAATAGGAGTATTGAGTTTAACCATAATTTTAAGTTGATCATGTGTTAGAAAACAAAAACCACATGATCTTGAGCTCAAAAGTCAATATTCTATTCTACTGTTCTTGTCCGTATATCACTTACCACTGAATTTGTTAATATTACTTAGACTAATCAACTTTCTGGATGGAATCGTGGTTTCGGTGGCCTAAAGGCTACACCAGGATGTATATTCGCTGCTGGTTTGCATGGTACTGTGGAAGCATATCATCCAACAAATCCAGTGAAGCCATTGAGTAAACGACCTCTGGCTGAGAAAATTAGTGCTCTTCCTACAAGTGTATGTAAAAATCTAAGTTTTCTATTCCGTATTCCATTTATAATGTATGCTCAAAGATAAACCAACAGAAATTTTTGTTTCTTAAACCTTTTTTGTTTTGTTGCCATCTTGTATCTAAGGTTTCACGGAAGCTAACGAAAAGTCGACGTCTCAGATACGCAAAGCTTCTGTTATAGTTTTTTTCAAAATGTTAATACAATAATTCGACTTTTATTAAGTGATATAGATTTATTGTGATTTCGTCATGCTTTATGAGCGTCTAATTAATTACCCTAAAGGTTTCTCTTTCTATGTGTCATGTAAATGCGTAGTCTCCATTAAATAGTTTGTGATTGAGTTTAGGTTTTGTCATATATCTTAATACAACTCGTTTCAAGATAAAACTTCATTATATTGTTAGCATACTTGACTTATTTCTTGTTCATGTTCAAAAAAGTTCGTCGGTTAGCTACTTAACACTTTGTAACGCATCAATGTAGTGTAAATGTTTATTTTGAAACGTTACTATTCAACAAATAGCATAAATCAGAACAGTGCTGATTTTTAATTAAATGTTGACACGGTGATACTGTATACCAAATCAGCTTCGTTCAACTGATCACATGTTTTATCAGTCACTCAGTCACAACGTAGGACTAGGCACATATATGCACCGGTCCAAGTTGCCATACCTCATTAGCACAATAAGATGAACACCGAATTCATAGAAGTAATTAATTCTATGGTGGTAATATATAAAAGATAGTATATAAGGGTATAATACAGGAAGAAAGATATGAAGCAATTTTAATCTCAGTTTAAGGGAAGATAAAGAGTGTATACACTTGCACCATTGTGATCGATCCTGAGCCATGTTATACAGAGTCTCCAACCATTCATTAAGGCATGCAATCCGCACTTAATCGGTTGGCAATCAGTGTCCGCAGGTACGGCATGTGCTTGGCACCGTCGAAGTGCAAAGTACTCCTACAAGACTGGCAGGATTCTCATCCTGTACTCACCCTGGATGGTGAGCGAATTGAAGTAGTTGAGAAGTTTGTGTATCTAGGTAGCTATATAAGTGCTGGTGGTGGCGTGAGTGATGAGATTGATGCATGTATAATGAAAGCCAGAGTGGCTTATGCCAATCTGGGCCATCTTTGGCGCCTTCGTGATGTTAGTCTGGCTGTAAATGGTCGGATCTACAACGCGTCGATGAGAGCAGTTTTGCTCTATGCTTGTGAAATCTGGCCTCTCCTAGTTGAGGCTGTTAGACGTCTCTCTGTGTTTGATCATCGTTGTCTCCGAAGGATTGCTGACATCCAGTGGCAACACCATGTTAGTAATGCAGAGGTTCGGCATCGTGTGTTCGGGCGCAGAGACGATAATTCAATTGGTGTCACCATCCTGAAACACCGACTTCGGTGGCTTGGACATGTTTTACGAATGTCGTCCCAGAGACTTCCACGTCGTGCATTATTTGCCGACTCTGGGAGTGGTTGGAAAAAGCGAAGAGGAGGACAGTGTATGACATGGTGTCGTGGTATGAAAGAAAGCTGCGAAGGGCTAGCTTCTGTTGGTCCTTCACGACTCCCTGGCTGGGGTCCGAGAGATGGTGCAACACAGTGGCTAGAGACGTTATCAGATATGGCTCAAAATAAAAGCGAGTGGCGATCCTGCTGTAACCTTCTTTTACTTTCTACATAAAGAATGGTTCTAACTTTCTTAACTGAAAGAGTCTTCTGGTTGTACATTTCAGTCCGCCTTATCTTTTCATCCCTTCTCTTCCTACTTTCATTATTTTGTGTGGCGCATATGCATCTGATGCCTTTTTGTACCAATATATATGTGTTTAAATAAACAAATAAATAAAATAGTTGAATGGTGTAGAAGTAGATGGGATGAAGCGTTTTCAAGATTATCACTTTGAAACAAGAGGGCACCGAATACATATTATGTGTACATACATAGTATGTGTTTGAATAAATAAATAAATTATTAGTCTGAAGAGTTGTCTGGTGTTGCCTACAGCCCCTGCCTTTTCCATCTCATTAGCTTTCGTTACCCACAATTGCTCACGGTCGTTCCTTATACTTTTGGTTAACCTAGATCTGATTTGTTTTTTCTCTTCATCGTGTTCAGAGCCTGATGGGATGAGTTTACGAGAATCGATCAGTGCAATAGACCTAAAAGAAATCCATTGGTTTTTAGTAACCCTTTAGATTAAGTTACTAATAGATGTTACTGTTGTTTCCACAGCTGTTCGTATATCCTTCCAAGCAACATCTGGGTCAGCCTCGTTTCCAGAACTGCCTAGATGTGAGCTCAGTTGTTCCTGGAACTTACATTTGGCTTTCTCATTCCCCGAGTTCAATTCTAATGGGTCTTCTTATTATGGTGTTTCTGCGTCCACTGAGGCGCAAGGAAATGTGTGCTCGTATTAGAGCATGGTCAGAGTCTAAACATGTATTCTAGAACGAGTGACAGTCTTATACTGAGCCTCTCGAACGATGACCAATGGCAATGTGGTCTATTTGAGTCCATCGTTGGTTTGGTGGAGGTGGCTGCCGTGTTAGACGATTCCTCTCCTTATGCTTACAATAAGTGTTTGCTAAAAATAAACGATTATCTGAGCACAGTTATAACAGACGTTCCCCATTATCTGATCTCTGAGCCGGAGTACCGAAATACCCACCTAAATGTGTTTCTCATTGGTTTAAGCTGCCTACTTGGGCATTGAAGTCACCCGCTACGAGTACTATGTCTGAATGTTCAGCTTTGTGAGAAAGTTCGGAAAGCTTTTTCTAAAATTGATCTTTCACTTAATACAGTCGGAGCCTAGGTAGAAATGACGAAAATGCAGTGACGTGTGTCCTTCCCTTCCGTGTTCTTACGGAGCCGTCTAGTCGAACAGTATATGGGCGATTGTTTAAATACGCGGCAATGGTCAGGGTTTACGTGATCACCATGCCCTAATTACTTTACACCTATCCAAATAATTGATCGTAAAGCGATAAACAATATTTTTACTCTATAATGATTTCTGAAACTTTTGAACAAATACTCGAAAACTGGAAGAACTTTATCTTGATTATAAGATGTGAAGTGAATCCAGTAATTATACTAATTAGCAAACGTATCTGAGTAGTGTTTGTGCATTATTTGAAATGAATGATAATAATAGCCTCATAAGTCATCATTGAATACTTAGTCTAAAATACGCCACAGGTAAAACTTTTAGGAAATTAGTCAGAACTACCAAAATCGGAAAGTTTATCTGAATGTCATTTGGTTGTCAATAGATGCTTTCAACTAAAACTTAAGAAGCACTGGACAATAGCGCGGACAATATCACAAAATTTTCATACGGCCTTTCTTCGAGATGCTGACAAACCCAACAAATTCAAGATAGCCCTCAGCAACAGCTTCCAGGCCTTTCATGATCTACTCAATGGAGAAGAAACGACTATGGAGAACAACTGGAAATGTATCAAGGAGGCAATCGTTTCAACATGTCAGGAGGTTCTGGGCTACATGAAGCACGACCACAAGGAATAGTTCATGCTGGTACACTGGATAAGATTGAAGAAAGGAGGAACAAGAAGACAACAATCAATATCAGCCGAACAAGAGCAGAAAAAGCCAAGGCACAAGCCGGATACACAGAGGCAAACAAGCAAGTGAAGAGGAGCATCAGAACCGACAAACGTAAATATGTGGAAGATTTAGCAATGGCAGCGGAAAAGGCTGAAAGAGAAGGAAACATGAGACAACTGTATGATGCAACAAAAAAAACTTGCTAGAAATTATCGTAATCCAGGAAGACCAGTGAAAAGCAAGGAAGGCAAAGTAATCACCGACATTGAAGAACAACAAAACAGGTGGGTAGAACACTTCAAAGAACTATTGAATCGACCAGCTCCACTGAACCCACCCAACATCGAAGCAGCACCCACAGATCTCCCAATCGATGTTGGCCCACTAACAATTGATGATATGAGCATGGCCATCAGACAAATCAAGGGCGGCAAAGCAGCGGAACCATACAACATCCCGGCAGAGGCACTGAAAGCAGAAGTAGCAGCAACTGCAATGATACTCTACACTCTTCAGTAATATTTGGGATGAAAAACAAGTGCCAACAGACTGGAAAGAAGGACTTCTGATCAAGATACCAAAGAAAGCCGATCTCAGCAAGTGCAATAACTACAGAGGCATCACACTTCTCTCAATACCAGGAAAAGTCTTCAACAGAGTATTGTTGAACAGGATGAAGGACTCCGTTGAATCCCAACTTCGAGATCAAAAGGCTGAATTTCGTAAGGATCGATCGTGTATAGATCAAATCGCAACTCTACGTATCATTGTGGAACAGTCAATTGAATGGAATTCATCACTCTACATCAATTTCACTGACTACGAGAAAGCATCTGATATCGTGGATAGGATAACACTATGGAGGCTTCTTCGACACTACACCGTGCCTGAGAAGATAGTCAGTATCATACGGAATTCCTATGATGGATTAAACTGCAAAGTCGTGCATGGAGGACAACTCACTGACTTGTTTGAGGTAAATACTGGTGTCAGGCAAGGTTGCTTAATCTCACCCTTTCTCTTTCTCCTGGTGATCGACTAGATCATGAAGACGTCAACATCTGGAGAAAATTACGGGATACAGTGGACAGGTAGGATGCAGCTGGACGATTTAGACTTCGCAGATGACCTGGCTCTTATATCACACACGCAACAACAAATTCAGAAAACCAACAGTGTAGCAGCAGCAGTATGTCTCAATATATACAAAGGGAAAAGCAAGACTCTCCGATACAATACAATATGCACCAATCAAATTACACTTGACAGAGAAGTTTTGGAGGATGTCGAAACCTTTACATATCTGAGCAGCATCATCGATGAACACGGTGGATCACATGCAGATGTGAAGGCGACGATCGGCAAAGTAAGAGCATTATATTTACAACTGAAGAACATCTGGGACTCAAAACAATTGTCAACTAAAACCAAGATCAGAATTTTCAATACAAATGTCAAGACAGTTCTACTGTATGGGGCGTAGACGAAGAGAACTACGAAAGCCATCATCCAGAAGATACAGGTGTTTATCAACAGTTGTCTACGCAAGATACTTCGGATTCGTTTGTTAGACACTATGAGCAACAAGTTACTGTGGGAGACAACAAACCAGATTCCAGCAGAGGAAGAAATCAGGAGGAAGCGCTGGAAGTGGATAGGACACACATTGCGTCACAAGGCAAGCCCCCACTTGGAATCCTCAAGGCCAAAGGAGAAGAAGAAGACCAAAGGACACATTACGCCGAGAAATAGAGACAGACATGAGAAGAATGAACAAAATTTGGATAGAACTAGAAAAGAAGGCCCAGAACAGATTGGGTTGGAGAATGCTGGTCGGCGACCTATGCTCCATTGAGAGTAACAGGCGTAAGTAAGTAAGTAAGATGCTTTCAAAGAAAGACTAAATTTCTGTATGACACCAAACTAACACTCATGGAATACACGCTAACCGTAATGATATGATAATTCATGACACGTGAAATACAGTCACTAACAAACTAGTTTTCTACAACCGTTTAAGTCATAAGTTATTCCGGCCAGAAAGTAAGCTACACCAACTAAAAATTCTAATTCTACGCATAACTGTAATCTTATCACTAGTTGTTCCCATCAGCTTCCTATTTTATTTATTTTCTACTCGATCCTCTTTTGTTGTTTTTGACACTCTTAGTTTAAGAATAACTAATATCGTACCAATTTTCATAAAATAATCCAAATATAAATGACAATGTAATTTTTAACGAAAAGTTATACAGTTAAGAACACTATTATACGGTTGTAGAATCACTAACTACAGCTATGTGATATCACCGGAAAGATGAACAGTGTCGTCCGAAAGGAAAATATCAAGTAAAAACTGAAAAGTGTGGTATGACAAGCTTAACATTCAGATGAAGATGAAAATTGAGGGCTATTACGCCATTTCTAACTACTTAAAGCCATGTAACTCAACGTCTCCAACCATGATCAGAAGCCTTGGATCGAATTCTCGAGTTAGTAATGACTTGTCACCAAAGTACATTTGCAAGCCTGATGGAACTATGATGACGTAGATACCTCAACTTTTTTTCACTCGATATCGGTAATTGAGACGTTCGCAGTGAAATATTATGAGAGTCACAACAACAAAAAAACACTTTCAAAGTTTTGATCTGTCACTATATTGGCTTAGAGGTAAACTAGAAAAAACCAAAGTTCTTTAGGACTTGAACAGCACATATTTATTCGGTGACACGGGCACCTATATGCCAAGAATTTTGATCGATCGGTGTTTATTGGTTTGATTTTATTGTTGCTATAGGCCAGCTATAATAGCGCATTGAAGTCAGTGATAGTTTGGAAGGTACTAAACACTTCAGTAGATGAAAATTATCAACCTTAGTAGTCTATTTATCTAATTTATATGTTGTGGAAACATCATAGCTGTTATGGAATATGCCATATTTGATTGCTCATCAATCGATAGCAACTTGTCTTCCGAGAACATGTGATTTACCTTTTAGAGAACATTCGGAACTATATCATCTTTCCCCATCCCCAAGTTAACTCCGTCAATCCACTAACCATCCTTCACGTCTAAAAAATAGGCCACTGAACATCCTAGTCCAAAGAAAGATGTGATTTATTCACTGCTGATGGCTCTGAACAGATGAAATTACGAATTCGTGTTAAATATTTGCGAGATCTAAAATAATATGTGAGAGGTGGTGACTAGTCGAACTGCAGTTGTTGTACGATATTATTTTTGTCAAGTTCTGTTTATTCAACCCAGCTGCTTTATTACCTAGTATCCCAGAGACAGTTTACTCTACTCGACTGAGCCCAGGATCAGAACATGGCTTGGACATGAACATAATTTGTTATTTGCTCCATATCTCCTTAAGTTAGTCAATTGCTTTCACAACATTATTTCTTGTTAACTAACTGCGTCTATTGATGGTGACTAGTGAAACTTTTCACCCACCCTTCATCTGTGGAATTATCCCTGAATACAAATGAATTGTGTGTTTTTAGAACACTAAATATTTACATATGATTGCTTACTAATTTCCTTATTTTCTCACTGTTTTTTTCTTCTAAATAATAATCATGTTTTATATAATATTACATGAAAATGTTGTCGTAGCTGAGAGTAAGTTTATGTAGACACTATAAATTCCACGAGTAAGTTATTTGTCCTAATTCCGAGATTTTTGCATCTGTGTTTTATCATGATTGGTGTAACCCAAACAAGTAAACAGGTCTGTTCATGGCCCTATAGGATCTAGCCAAAAGCAAACTAGTAGTGTACTGCAGCCAACTTCTTGCTTAAAAGTCCTCAATATTGACACGATTGCTTCCTGAAATCTGTTTCGAGAACAGGCTGTTTAATGACAATTATAATGAAATTGTTTAGCAAGTTGCTAGTATATAGCAGGCTGTCGTTGGGTTATGGGTGTACGAGGAAATAGGTACCGTCAAGCACAAAAACGTGTTCTTGTGTTAGTCTTTACCGACATTTTTTATCTCAGAATTCTCGTTATTTTTGATATGAGTAAGCTGATATGTCTTGACAACAATTTTCCATAAATTTGCTTCTTTCGTACTGTCCCTTGCTTGTTTTCTAAAGAGTGTAACATTTTTAGGCAATCAAGAATCTGTTCTTGTCAGTGTGAATTCACACAGCTTTTTAAAGTTTTCCTAGCTTAGTCTGAGGACTGCATTTTGACGTGAACTATGCTTTAATAAGGTTTAATAATCCAACTATAGTCATTGTTAACATTATGCGGGCAAATGGTAAATGATCATCTAACGTGGTCTTCTTAACTTAGTTGTTGTCTGGATTACCGATCACATATGGTCGAGCATGTTTTTAACTATGTGATTTTAAGAGATTATTAAAAAAAAGTAGTGAATCTTTTCAGATACATCATAATCTTGTAATGTGAATTTACTGCTCTTCAATGACAAAGAAGTAAAACTCATTATAAGTCGCTCTCGTTCCAGGAACTGAAGAGCAAATTCTTATTACTAATATGATCAGTTTTCAAATGACCTATAAGTCTTTTTACAAAAACGATTTCTTTTATTCACCTTTTTGCAGCTGGAATATCATAATGATGTTTTGGTGGTTGGTTCTGGGAATGGTTCAATTTATGTTTGGTCTTCTGTAGATAGAATCAATTCACTGACTACTTCATACTAAACCACGAATGATAACGTTACTCGATCAACGCTTTTTTCTCTTGAAAACTATATATCATGTTTATGTTGAAGAATTGTTAGTTTTTTTATCTTTCGGATGCTAATATGAATTTGAGTCTAGTTGTGCAGTAGCATGAGATTATTTGAACTTTTTATGTGGTAAGCACTTTGAGTTGATTTTTTACAGACACATGCAATTTAGAACAACATGTATAAGCGAACAATATTGTTTTTGACTAGATCTTCATCAGGCTTTAATATACAGTAATATTTATATGTATATATGAAATTATTATCGTGTTCCTACTAGTTTTCTTTATGGGGTTCGATCTCATCTCTTACACATAGCAGAAGTTACAAGAATTCGAGCTAGCAATCCAATTCTTTGTATTTGTAAGAATTTTGTTCGTATATTTGTGTTTTAATAATTAAACTTATCAAGAAGCTTGTAATAAAAATTGTGTTCAGTCGTACTCAGATTTTGTTATTTATTCACTAAAAGTATATGAATTATAAGATGTGAAGAAGAATAAGTATACTCAATTTTCTGTACCTTCATGTTACTATAAATTAGAATTCTTTGATTGATAGATGAAATCTGTCTTCTACGAAGGTTTGTTTCTTGAAAACTAATATAACAAATATAAGATTTAGATCGCCTATATGTATGCAGATGTATAGCTGAAGGATGAAGAATGTCTCAAGTCGATTCGGTCCAAATACTGTGTAACTACTTGACAAAATCTAGACGAAAGTTCTTATAAACAGCTGTGACGTTTAAAATTTAGAAATAAGATTTTATCGGGCAACAAGTTACGAGCGTTGTGAAGAGCAAGTAAAGGGTTAAAGAATGTCCAGTGACCTGTTAATTTGTGGCTTCGAAAGCGTGACTGGTTGTATTCTATTTTCTCTGTCCAGGCTGTTTTGATCAATTCATTTATACAATGCTCCTGAGTAAGACCCTAACTTACGATCGGCTGTATTTTTAAGTGTTTCTAAAATGACCTTGATAGAGTTCAACTTGCCAGTCTCTAAAGGGTTACAAATTAGTGTGAGAAATCATAATCGATGCTGGGTGTTTAGGGGTTCGGTTTATGGATTAGAGTTGGAGTTTGCATCACGAACTGACATCAGCTATAACACCAAAATGCTACTTAGCCATATGGATGAATGAATTTTGAACTTGACCTCATGACTCAACTTCAAAATTCAATTTGTCCGTCTTCCAATCACAGTCACGCTTTGCTCCTCTGTTAGTTATTATTTTTGTGGATCACATATTTTTTAAAGTATTTCGGTTCCTTCAGAGTTGACATCCTGCTGTTTCTCATGAATATATACTGTATATTAATACTTAAGTTGCCTAATGTCTATGTGGGATATATTTCAAATTTCGTTTGTATCCCTTCAACATCAAACAGTGGTTTGATGGTTTTTCTCACATGTACTGTATTAAGCTTATAAAATCTCACCTTCCGTCATTCTTTTGTTAACCTATCTTCAACGTTTACTAGTGTGGACCTTATAGTCACACTCGTACGGGGATGAACTTTCATATCTCCATTCAGAATTCTCTTGAATTCGTCCGATTTTTTTACGGTTCTCTTAAGTGTATCCCGAAGACATTACTGAAATCTACCCAGTTACTAGCAAGTTGTATAAAAATAGGTTTCGGTTTAAATATAATGCAAACACAGATGAGAAAACGAACTATTCTAACGGAGTACAAAGACCTGAAGATCGGACTATACTGTTCAAAGATACTGTTATAGACAACTTAGGAATAGTAGCACTATAGGAGTTTCAGAGAAAAGCTATTATTTGTTCGTAAAATACAGTATTATTATGATAAACAATTCTTATAGGAAACGTATAGTTGTCATTTGAATTTCCATTCGCCGTTACACGTCATGAAGTCAGTTGGTACGAAGATTGGTTCAGTAGGCGGGTACCTAATAGTTAAAAAATTGAAATGTTTACAGAATTAAAAGCATCCGATCATGAGCACTAGAATAACCTGGAAGATTGTAAAATGTAACAAGGTGATTCAAATATGTGAAGTTGCGTACGATTTCAAACGCCAGTATAGAGCTGCCGCACAAGTTATCACATATTGTGTATATTGCCATTTTAAAGCAACTATAATACGGCAGTCATTAGAGCAGTCTCCGGAGTAGTTTATGCAACAATTACGACGTATTTGAGAATATAATTCTGGAAGGGTAAAGACTTAATTTGTATTCTCTAAACTGCGATAATCTCTGGCATTCCAATTCTGTGGAAAACGAAGCGATAAATAAATCCTCGGAAACAGCAGTTCTGTACATCCTCGATCTCACTAGTTTAACTGGACACAATCCTAGTTGAGTACGTTTAATCAGACATTTAAATGCGGTCGCGTACGGTTGAGCTGTTTTATACATCACTAACAATAACTAATTAGTTTAGAGTACATACGTATTGGAAACTATCCAATTTACATCGTGTTGTATTAAAATCTTAATTATCGTAGATTCTTATTGTCTGTACCCACTATGGGTGTTTGAGAACATTTCATTACTTATAGCTTTATTTATAACTATTGTATTTCTACACTTTTTCGCCTGCTTCCATGGACATTTATCCTGCATCACATCCTTTTCAATGGTTGTGTTTTGTTTGGAAACACATAACTCACACTATAGCCATTAAAAGCATTGCGTCTATGCCTTACGCACAGTCCATAATTTGTAACCAATTGATAAGCTTGTAAAATGGTACTTATGGAAATAGTGTTTTCCAACAGTGTGAAATATAGAGCATAGTGTGAGATATATCTTACCTAAAAATAAACCTTAATGAGCCTAACGTCACAAAAAAGGGAGGGTGGAGCTGTTGACTAGCAAATATAGGTGTTGTAGACAACGACTTCAATCCAAATATTTTCGTGGAGCAGAACATTTTGATCCTTTCAGGCTCTTAATTATTGGGGACTGAACAACCAATCAGTGATACTGAGATTGTTCTCTTACGCATGTTTCCGATCTTATGCTGACTATCTATTCTATTAAGACAACCCATAACATGCAAACTCAGTATTTTACGTTATCACATAGCGGCTGCATCAAATGAAAAAAGGACTAAATAACAGACAGTGGGAGATGTAGTTGTTAGCGTTTTTTAACACTTAACTCTTTATTGCTGCATTTTCGTGACCCTAACTTCAAATTACCTTTAACACATTCCACTTTGTTACATATCATAACTCGATGTTTTTAATTAATTTATCGTAAGAGTATAATTTATTGACGATCTTTGAGCGACGCTACAATGATCTTGAGATTACACTACTGCTTACCAGTGCTATGTGAGGGTTATAAAGCAGTGATGAATAAAATTCTGATTTACAATCGATGGTTACGGTTAGGAACTTGGTTTAGGGTTTCCATCTCGAAATGACATTAGATAAAATGCCGAAACGCTATTCAGGCAAATGGATGAATGAAATTCGCACCACAAATCCAAGATCTTTTATTTTATATATGACTAGTTTGTCCATAAATTATAATCTCGCCGCTTTGCTTCTCATTTGTTCCTCTTTTCTTTGGCATCACGCTCTCAGTGCAGAGCTATAGAAATTCTTACACCTGAAACAAAATTAACGTTAGTTTTTACCAAGGTCAAAGGTTATTCTAAGTGGCTTTTAAATTTACTTTATAACGACTTCAAACTTTGTAAACAGTTGTGTTGCAAAAATAAATAGCACAACAAGAATTCTAACACAGTGAAGACGAGCATGGACCTGGTGTGCAACGTGAGCACGATGTCATTTTTGAAAAGGATTATAGAAACTGCACTTATACAGCGACACTAAAATACAGACCAAACCACTAACTCCCTGAAACATATGCTCGAAACTACTAACTTCTGTGTCTATTGACTTCATTTATTTAACAACCCTATTTGGAAAACACACTAAGTGTTGTGGAAATAGGCCTGAAAAACCTATTTTGTAACCTGTAGCTGTAAATAAATCCCCAAAATCAATAGCTCATTAAGTGTTCGAGATTGGATGCTGACCACGTTGTTTAAGTGGACTTGCTTAACTGAAGGCTTTCCGTCATGCATCCGTACCAGATCACGTTGCAACACGGCGTGGGACACAGCTCCAACGTTCATTAGCCAGCTTATAGTAAAGGTTCCTCGATATATTGGTAACGTATCAAATATATCTTTCCTACCTCTCCTCGTCTGACTTCTGGTTTCTATTCGACTGCAAAAGAACGATTACAGAAGATACTACTGGTTGCTAGTTGCCAAACTAGAATATCCGTGGTATCCTCAGTGGTGAGACCGACGTGATCTGGTACACCAAGCCAATAAACTGTGAGTCTGTTCCATTTTGGAATATTATTATTCATTGTTATTCTTTATTTGAATTTTATATATTGTGATATACTGTTTTTTCGCGAATTTTTTCCCCGGATATATTTTAATTAGACATTTTTCGTTATCTATATTACTATGACGGAACACTCACCTAAGGTTTTTAAGTTAAAGTCTATTCCCCCTATTTTGATTCAGTTAACGCCATTTTGGCCCGACAATATCGAGTCCTGGTTCTGCTACGCAAAAGCTGATTTTTGCATACACGGAATCACGGACTCGCGCACACGATTCCTCGCGCGAGTTTAACAGGTACGTAACACCTAGTATGTTTACTAGTGATGTTCCCGAACCTTACGAAACTCTCAAATGTTCGATTCTAAAACGTGGAGACCTAACCGACCGACAACGGTTAGACCAACTCTTTCATAGCATCGACTTGCAACAGGGTTCTGCAACAGACATGTTGCTAAGATTGAGAGAGGTTATCGGCCAACGAACTTTCGATGATGGCCTATTCAGACAACTTTTCTTGTTTAAACTTCTTCACCAGGTGCAGGCAGTGCTTGTTTCATTTCAAAACAACGCCATAGATGAGCTGGCTGCATCTGCCGACCGAATCTTAGAAATCACTAAATCTTCTATGGCCGAGGTCTTTTCCGTCAAGGAAAAACCCCAATCGACTCCGACTGACATAGACGAACTATGTCACTTGCTTACACGATATCTTAGAGTTCGTAATGACCGTAGTCGGTCAAAAACCCCGCGTAGAAGTGTCTTACGTAGGCGATCTGGCTCTCGACCACGAGAGAAAGACAATCCCGACTGGTGCTGGTATCATAACAAGTACGGTAAGTCTTCCAGAATTTGCAGGGAACCCTGCAATTATCCTACCTCAAAATCGAGTGACACGAAAAATAGTTCGGGAAACTTCCCAGCCGGCACGCGTTAACGGCAACCGTAGCCGGCGAACACAGCCGCCTCTTATATGCCACGGATGTGACTACGAAAGTACGCTACCTCGTCGACACTGGTGCAGAAGTTAGCGTTCTTCCAGCAAATCCCGACGACAGACTTCGCGAGTCTGTTTTAAGTTTACAGGCGGCAA